CCACAAATGAAACCACTGACAGACATTCCGCAAAAACCCGGCCGCCAAGAAAGAATTCCCAGCCCTGCAGAAAAAGGTGCGGGCCATCGAGGACCTCGAGATGCGTATCCGCCGGCGGCGAGAAGCTCGAGGATACGCAGATGAAGAAGATTACGACCAAGTCGTCCGTCCTCAAGGAGCTCGAGGCGCTCGAGAGGTCGTGAGCGTCATTGTTAATGGATGATCTGTAGACCAGAAGTCAGTTGAGGAAAAATTGGGCCAATGGGATAAAGGGTGGTATAGCTGTGGGCAAAAGTTGGGTTCACTACAGCCTCGGACTGCATGGCCAGTCGGCCGCAGAAGGCAGGAGGCAGGCTAGGATATAGCTACTGAGGAGATCAGGGGCGTTCCTCACCAGTTCAGGCCCCCTTGGACCACGGCCCGGGGCGAGAGTAAAGTAGCCATCCGAATAAGAATGGAAGGAAACCGGGCGTCTTGCTCGAGCCTACTGAATCGAGACTGTGCGAGCATGTGATGTTGGAACTCTTGTCATTCATTTAAAGCTTTAGATTGGCCTGAGCTCCGCATATAGACACCACCTGCTGTGAGAGATTCCTTTATACTTACGAACAGCATTCTCAAGTACTAGACACCCTGGTCCTCTAGAACGACAATGATGTCAGGGATTCGAAGCGAAGGAGAACTGGTTCGACTTCCGAGCCAGTACCTGGTCAGTTTTTATCAACCCTTGCTAGGCACGCGGTGATCAGTTTTTTATCAAGGCTCAATTGGGTCACTAGAGGGATACTACATATAGGAGCAACCAGTACGTACTGGTTGTACCCGGGAGCGTCCTTGGTCCTGAAGGGTCAGATGCAGATGCTGTGTGATATGATGCTGCGCCACCCATCAACATTGGTTTCATAAGAACTGCACGAAACGGGCTGAGGTCACATGGGCAGCTACCCCGCACTGCAATATCAATGTAGTACTCTTGACTGCGCTTTTGGGAACATCGTCATCAAGCCATCTCATCCCTAGCTTTGCAGTCGTTCACCCTAATGCACAATGTCACTAGCAGCGGCATCGTCGTCGACTGCAACGCCCCCGGGCGTTCGCACTTCTCTAGAATATGCCGTCAAGGACTTTCAGAGCATCTTAACAGATCAACAACGAAGCAAGCTCAATCAAATCGGTACCATCCGAGATGCTGAAACAGTCATAACCTTCACTGCTCAGCTGGATATGGCGAACCAGCTGAGGAAGGGCCGCGGTGTTGCCAGTCGTCTCCACCCTGTTCTCGAATCTGTCCAAGCATTCTCCACCGTCGTCGGAACATTCGTCTCGTCCCACCCGGAGATTGCTGCGTTGGTTTGGGGAAGCGTGAAGCTCGCCATGCTTGTGGGTGATCTGTGACTTCATGTGGTATCAGAAGCTGGCGATCGCAGTTGGCGGTCAACTACACATCCTATTTCGAAGCGCTCTCTGGTCTTTTCATGGCGTTCAGCAGACAGTGCCCGCGCTTTGCTGAGTACCAAGCTCTGTACCCGGGCTCTGCCCAGCTGCAAAAGGCACTTTGCGATTTCCACGCCTCCATAGTACGCTGCTGCAAGCACGCCGTGGAGACGATTCAACGACCGTGTTCGTCGTCTTTCTGTCGCCATACCAAAGAAGGCGCTGACTGCCATGAA